GAAGATTTCACCTTAGATTCTGAGATTTGCTGTTCTCTCCTTCACTCCCAATTCTCCAACTCCACTCAACATTTGCTCACTAGTCGACGGGTATCGTTTGAAAATTGTATCACGTTGCGTATTCATTGCGATCCATCAGAAAGAAACGAGCAGAAAAATACTTCGATTATTTAAATTTGCCGGGAATTTTAAACCAAATCCAGATAAATCGCTTGGCTGACTATATCCAGACCATGTCGCAAACGTCGGATTACCCGCAACTTGGATTTTTCCGTCTGCTAAAACCTTCCAAAGACATCAACAGTTTCAATCCGATTTTGATTTTATTTAGTGGTTATGCCAAAACCAAAAAAATGAGTCAATCAAACTCCCTATGAATCCCTATAAATCCTGCAAATTGCCTAACGGCAATTTTCATTTTCCTATTGGCTTGTCGCGATTGAAAAAAAAAGAGCAAAAAGAAAGACCGTTTAATGGCGACCTCGACGGTAAACTGCAATGAATTCCCAAAAAAGAATAAAACGTTAAATAGAAAAGTATTAAAACCTGGGAAATTTATCGATGGAAAATGCGATATTGGCCGTCGAAGTTTAGCATGCTTGAAGGTTTACATACCCGGTGGGCCAAATAGGGCAAAGACAAGGAGCCGATGTTGCCGGGAGAAAAAGCGGTTGTTTTCCTAGGTGTTTCTTTGGGCCTCCCGGTGCGGTGCAAAGGCAATAAATAAATATGCCCAATCAAACTTTCCAAATTTCGCTCTATCTAACCAATATTTTACAAGGGCGATTTTTCCTGCAGGAATGGGATTGACACACGCAAGCAAGGACATTGTCTACAAGCACTTGGTAGATTACCGCACGTTTTTTCTTAGAGAAATCGATGGGGATTTGGAGTTTTACAACGAAAATGATTTATTGTGCGGAAAGCGGAAGAATCCAGTGCTGATACCGAAAACGATTAATAAGCGGCAGGGACTAAATGCAAGATTCAATGTAAAATTGCGCCTCTTTGCCTATTGTACATTTAGGGCATTTCTGTTAACTGGGCGGCACAAATGGAAAACAAAAAAAGCGTTTTCGAGCCGTGACAAAGAATAATGATGGCGTGAGTCGCCTGTGCCTCGCACCAATTTCCTGCTAATTCAATGTCTTTCAATCCGAAGATACGGCGTGATTGATCGCCGCTGAAGACCCGCCCAATGGCGGCTCTTTTCGCACGAGTCCCCCGGAATTAATTCCACTATTTTCACTAGGACCTCATCAGAATGATTCATTAAAAACCAATTAATTCATTATCTGGAGACGTTTGGTTCAGATCAACACTTTTTGGTGGCGTTTCAATGCAACGTGAGTGAGAAATTCCGTTCTAGGGAAATCAGAACAGGCAAAGTGGGTGCAAATAATTGACTATTCCCGGATGTCACTTGTTCGGCGAAATAATATTCCGGGATAGACTGAATTATACCCGAGGTCCGGAAAGAGGGCCCTTTTTCCGGCCCTTTTCACAATATTTTGCCCAAATTAGCCTTTTTCCAGTCCCGGCACGTTTGGATCAAGCGGTGAGGGGATGGTGGCCATGCATGCCCAACTAGGGCCCATGTCGTCTGTTTTATTGCCTTGGAGCCGCCTATATTAAAAAACATTAAATTTCCGTGTTTTAAAGGGCACAGGAAATATTATAATAAGCAACTAGTCTAGACAGAGAGTTGCTCGGTGGACCAAGGTGGACAATTGCAGCTTCCAACTTCTAGTTAGGTAAAAATTCCTTCAAATGGGCTGAAATCGCTCCTCTAGCGAACGCTCTATACAAAAGATTCCAATGATTTAAAAAAAAAACCACCCAATTATCCATCAATTCAGCCAAACGAAAATTATTTACCTTGAATGGTATAAACGATCAGTTGATCGGCTTTTTAACCACAAAATCGTCGTGTGAAAATCAGGCCAGAATCTACATAATAACTGTCCCAGTGATTGAACCGTTATAAAACATGGAATTCACAGGATTTTTTCAGCGATATAGTCAACATTGTAATCAACAATCAGCCGAAATAAAGCGCATCGAATCGGGATGATGGAAAAAAGTCCGGGCCCCATCTCGCGTATACTGTTGAAGAAGTTCGAAATTACATTCTATTAAAAGGCAAAGGCAAATAATGGACGACGATGGAAAAAACGGCTGAACCGAAAAAAGGAAGCTGTCAAGTGAGAAACGTATTAATAATGTGAGGTAATTGGCATCAGGCCAATAGGAAGTCTGAATAATTTAGTTAGGTTGCTTTTTTCGTTTTCGAGTTTCAGGAAAAAGTTAATAAGGTGTGGAAATAATCGTTTTCGCTTTGTGTAATGAGAAAGTCCGAGTAATTTGCCGCATTATTTTTATCGAATTAATTAGGCCTTCTTGGTAAGCAGCTAAGAAGTTGGTAATACTATCTAGTAATTACGAGCGTGATGGATTTGTTTATGATCGCATCCTAATGCTGTTTCCTGATTAATTTACCATTAGTGCTCAACTTAGAAAAAACCAGTGGTTTTCTCAGTAAATTGCGTACTTTATTTCCGTCCAGTTATGATAGATAATGCCCCCGATGCAAGTTATGCGATATTATCCAGATAAAAGGATTAGGAAGATAGAAACGGGCGGGCAAATGCATTAATGCGCCCTAAAATCCGGGTTTTTCAACCCGGTGTGGGAAATTTTTTTGACCGCCCATCGCCATAATTCACTCTGATGGATGCGATAGATAAGGCTGCAAAGCTTTTACTGCTCGATATTTATCCAATAGCATGGGATGCATATTGTAATTTGCTTCCAGGATTTATTCCAATCCCCAGCTTTTTTTCCAAACTTTATTTCTCTAGGGAATTAATAATAGATAAGTACTAAACTATATCGCCTAAATACTCCACTCTATCTAGGGATTTTGGAGGTATACAGTGGGGCTCTAATGAGGCAGTAACCAGAAAGTCACCTTTCTTTTCACCAAACTTTTAATTTGCCTGCGTTTTAAAAACGAAATTGATTCACTGATTGATAGTCTAAGGAAAAAACTGTAGTAACTGTAAACCTGTTTCTGAAATCTTAGGCTGCTGTTGCACCTTTGACTTGCATGCAAGCTTTCAGAGAGCGAGATTTTGCAATCTTAAATTTTAACATTAGTACTTTTATCCTCCTGTCGCTATTTTAATAATGATGACCATAAAAAGAGAAATGCAATTTTTGAAACGCTTAATTTGGATTTTTTGAATTTCTTTAACTTGAAAATTAATCCTCGCTTTTCATTTTCCACACATCTTGATGCTCTTCTATAAAAGAACCCACTCATGAGGAAATAAGAAAAAAAGAGAGAACAAATGTGCAAAATATTCAGACATTGGACCAGTTTATTTTATTTTGACCAACAAGAAGGGTTTTTCACCATAAAAACGTAAAAGCTAAATTAAAACAAATGTAAAATTTGTAGTTCAGAAACTCCTAAATACCAAATTTCAATAATACAAGGGCATTATTTAAAAAAATGTAGGAAAAAACAAAAATGAAATTACATTTTTAACACCCTCTAAGTATCTTGGAAACTGTGCACTTTTGGATTTTTGGAAACTCTTCTCATAAAATGACTGACCTACGAAATCACGCCCTTAAATGTTGCCGAGTCCTTTTTAAACATCCGGACGTTGACGGATTTCAGTTTGACAGTGACAACATTGGAGAAGTTTTTTCCATTTTGGCCAAAAAGAGCAAAAAGTAGCAGCCAGTTTTTTCATCATCAGAAAGCTGGCTGTTCACTGAGTAATAAGTGTCTTGAAACTTACCAGAAGTCAGGAAAATAGTGAACTAAACCTCTATGTTCAAGTCAATCTTGCTGGTTTTTACACGATTTTTGAACCCTCTTAAATACATAAAATTTTAAAAACTTTTACTTACAGAGATCGCATTTTGAATGCACACCTGCAGGTTGCTCATCTATCTTAAACTGGGGCCCAGATTGCGTGTAAAAGGGCACAGTATCGAATAGAAATGAAGACTTTAAACATCAACATTCAGAAGGTATGTCGAATTTTTGACGTAAAATGACAGCTAAATAATCCATACAAACACATCCTTGGCAACGCAGTAAACAAGTGTTGTGTCTACTTGTCATTTATGAGTATTTTTAGAGACAAGTGCATACTTAATTTTTATTCAGGTCTATATTGTTAAGTTAATAGGAATTAACGTGTTTTTGAAATATTTTATTTCCAAATTTACAGAAGTACACAATGTTATTAAGTCATTATTAAAGTGAATCCAGATTTTAGAGTCGTGACGATGGAAAAGAGAGTCGTAGAAAGTGTTGTTAAAAAATAACTCAAGCATTCCTCAGTGTATTTGGAAATGTCCCCAATACAAACTCTTGGAAGGCTGAAAACTCCCCAAAGTCTCGCATTATCAGACCGACACTTTCTCCCGAAAAGCTCCCCATTGAACCCCTAATTAGCAGCTGCATACCCAAATTAACAATCAACCATGACTAATTACCCATTTTTCCGTCCAGATTGGGCCTCTACCACTTGGCCCTGAAACTTCACGCACAGTCTCCCAATAAAACATGTTCTAACCCACATCGGCGCTAATAAATTCGAGCAACATAAAATAATTAATGCTACCAGCGTTAAATTAAATCCCCAATTATACAAAGTGAGCTGCAGCCCCCCTTTTTGGGCAACAAAGCACCACCCCCCGGCCGTTAATTAGCTGCGCCTCTGACGGAAAAAGCGTCACATCACGCCGCCAATCCATCAAAAAATAATAACGGCTAAATTTCAACTAGCCCCAAAAAGGTCCATCAATTTTCGCGATAAATAACGAAACATATTGACACCACCTTATATTTTTCCGTAATGATATTCGACTGTTTTGGGGCGGCGCCGACCCATAGCCGTCCCTTCAGTGGGCCAATGGGGATTGCCAGCAAACAGAGAGAACGGAGGAGGAACCGCCCAACGATGGCAAACCAGTGGCCCGTTACTCCGCCGCGATACAGTTGGCTTTGAAATAGTTGAACGCCAAGTTCAGACAATCAACTCTGGCTGGTTATCAACGGTTTTTTTGCCCTCCCAATCACGAGAGTTTTTCGAATTGATAACGCGAGTGTGGTTTGTGATGAAAGTTGCTGGAACTTGGATACCGATCGAGAGCTTGGCGGCTGCCATCCACAGAGAGCGACTCTAATCGGAAAAATCGTCCAGGAAAAGTTGGGAAACCGCGCGACGCGATATGACAATTAGCGCCAAGTGACTAGCAGTGAATTTATTCGCCGCCAAAGTGTCCCAAGAGCTCAACAAGATGGTTCTGGAGTCGGGGGTTTTGCCTCCGCCTCTTCAGCTCTATGCGGCAGCAGCTGCCCATCTGGCACCACGGCCTCCATGGGCGCCTCTTCTACAGTTTCCCGGTGCCGCTCAGCTCTTGGGCCAATTTCCCGGCGCTTTTTCGCCCTTGAATCGCCCCAGATACCCGCATGGTTTAGGGCCGGGCATGCGAGCCCCTCCTGGACCTCCGTCGGAGGATTCGGGCAGCGAATTAAATGGTAAAGGTAAGGTTTTTATTAACCGCCAATTTTCTCCAAATTTATCAAATTTCCGAGTTGTCCATCGGTTGTATCAGGGGCCAATACCCAAAGACTCTGAGCAAACATGTGCTTGGCACATTCAATATGCAAACACTTAGGAGACTGTGCTCTGAGCAAAGCAAATTTTGAAATTTTGGACCTGGATAAATTCCGATTGCTTGGAGCGATTTGCTTTGCGTTTGAAGCCTCATTGAGCCCCCTTTGTTTTGGATTCGTCAATGTTTTGGCTCCAACTAGGCACCTGGGACGCATTTTCTACAGGGCGGCAAATGAAAAAATGCAAAATTTCGCAAAGCTATGCAGAGCTTGCTCCTAGTTGGGCAACACAAGAAGTTTTTTGGATCTAGACACCAAAAGTTTCCAGATATACCAAATATTTAAATGTTCGGCCATCTGTTTTATTTACATCTGTTCGATATACAGGGTTTCACAAAAAAATCCCCAAATCAGAATGGTGTCTGGAATCTGTGATTCTTACCGATTTCCAACTAAGTGAAGTTTGCCTTCAAATATTCTGTTCATTTGTGCAACTCAAGCCTACTGTGACTGTGAAGTTTTAACTTTAACATAAACCCTGGGTTTTGAAAATGAGCCCAGGGGAAAGAAAGTCATCACCGCAAGGCCAAAAAGCTGATTTTGTCAATCGGTTTTTTTGCGTTTATTTGAACCGAAAAATGTTCACTCTGTTGAAATTTAGTACGAAAATTAATGGAAAGGTGAAGAATCAAACGTACCTACACAAAAGCATCTGAAAGTGCCTACCTACAACTAGTTGAAGAACAGATGCAAAAAGACATAACAATGAACTAGGTAACAAATAAAATCAAAAAACATTTGTAATAAAGACAAGAATTTCGTCGGTAACATCCGAACAAGAAATAATGTAAGACAGTGCAAGTTTCGAGGTTCGCCAACCTCAGGCACCCCCAGGACCTGTTTCGAGCCTATTAGCTCTCATCAGCTGGGTTCAGCCACTTTATTATACCAATAAACCGTGCAGGTTTCGGAATCGCTAATTTCAGGCTGAACCCAACTGATGAGAGCTAATAGGCTCGAAACCGGTCCTGGGGGTGCCTGAGATTGGCGAACCTCAAAACCTGTACTATCTAACATTTATAATATTGAAACTTTTATCAATTAAATCTAATGTGGTCAATTATTTTGCAAGTTCAGCCTCTTAATACATGCAAACTATATGGTGAAATGCATTCAAGGCCCAGTTTGGGTTTCTTCCTGAATGACCAACAAAATAAACTAATCAAGCAACAGAATTAAAAATGACAAAGTGGCACAAGCGGGAGAGGAACAGCAAAATTTTAGCTTTGAACAGAAATAATGTTTGCAAAAGAATCCAGGTCAAACAATAGACACAAAACATTTTAAACTGGGAGATATAAAATCACTAAGATTAACAGAAACAGTTTTTCAGCTTTTTGCATCGTTTTCGTCCTTTCGCTGACGGGAAAATATCTCACTCGACTTCAACAAGCTGATTAATGGTATCAATGGTTGAAAGGTTAACAGTATAGGAAATCGATTTTATACGCGTTTCGATATAAAAGTTCTGCGTTGTTCACCAAGCTTTCGAAAAATGCAATTTTTTCTGAACACCGCATAAGACCATTATTTTCTCAAAATCCTCTAAAACTTCGGTCAACACTACCCTCCATTGTTACTTCTGCTAAAGCCAATCAACATACAAGAAAGACTTGACTGGGTGTCCGAATGAAGACAGGTTTTGGTTGGATTTTCATAAAGCAATGTTGCTTAAATTAGCTGTTGCTTCTCGGTTAAACTGTGGTATTCAAATATTTGAAGCTATTTAAGCAAGCGAACTAAATTTTCAAAAAAATGAATTCTGAAGCTCGATGCAGTTGCACTTTAACAACAGTCCTGAAAAATGACTTGCCACTTGCAAGCCCTGCTAACGATGATTATAATCGTCTCAACGTTCCGTTAATTACAAATTTAAATACTTGCTCCAGAAAAAAAACGCCGCTTGATTAGTCTTTAAGTATTAGGTTGCATGTTTGAATGAAATTTCGGCACAATCGCTTTCCGCAACCGCATTCGTCCGACAACTCGAACAACATTCACACACTACGCAAGTATCATTCTTCGTGAAGATGAAGATAAATCAAATCGATCACAATAAACCAGGACCGATTGTTATCCCAAAATTGCATCAAGACACCCATAAGTCCTCTGAATACACCGAAATAATTACACAGGACTAAACAGATTTTTTTTTGACGAAACAATTTATTTTTTCTGTGCTCGGCTGAATAGGCGCATGATTACCTTGCGGTTTGATCAATACGAAAAGAAAGATGAACCGTGAAATTAATATTATTTGCTTATGTAAACAAGGTTTAAATTGATTTGGTAAGTAGGGCAATGATTTGGGAAGTTTTGTTGATTTTATGAACGCATCGGGTAGAGTTAACTGAACCTAAAAGTAGGAAACACGTTTTTTTGCTGGCAGTATTTTTGTGTGTTTTTTCCAAGGGGAACGCACTTCTGGCAAATGTTCGGCACAGTTGGACACATTTCTGGCTGCAAAAATACGTTTTCCAACTAAACCTCGTGTTTCCCGGATCAATCGACAACAAGCAACTGGCCATCAATAGCGTCCGATTGCGATAAAAGAAGAACGAAAAGCCCAATCTAATTCGGTCCCGGTCTATTGAAATTTCCTGATAAGAAACCCCCGCCGCGAATCATATAATTTCATATCGTCGACGTTTTGCGAAAATCAAATAATATGATAAATAGAATCAATTCGTCTCGGAAAATAGAATTTTCCGGGCGGACATCAGCAATATGACTAAGGGGGTCATTTATCTGGGCTCGAACAGAGCGGGCTTCAGCAGGAAACATAGCCATTTGTATGGAGTTGTGGATTTTTGTGAGTGACGCACTTTATTTATGTATTGGAGTTGATTCCAAATCAAACTAATTCCTGGGTTTCAGTCATTTATTGTCTCTATTTATCAATTAAAAAACGTTTCGGTGTTTTCCACCATCATCAGTTTCAATGTGTAGCGTTGTTGCTACTTTAAG